GTTCTATCTAAATGAGTCCACTGGGTCTCTTAGTCTGAGTGGTACAACATCCTTGTGTTCCTTTTATCTGACAATTTGACTACTCTTTGGCTTCACCTCTAAAATATTTCCAAAATCCGACCTCTTCTCACCACCCCACTGCCTCTGCCTTGGTCTAATTGCTGTCACCTCCCGCCTGGACTTATGCAGTCACCTCCTTTGTGATTCCACCTTCACCCTTGACACAGACAGAAGGAGCCTGTGAAAACCCAAGCCAGATCACATCTTTCCCTTGCTCAGAACTTCCTGTAGCTCTTCTTTGCTCAGGGCAAAAGCCAAAATCTTCACATGGTCCGTGAGGCTGTCTGTGATCTATGCTCCCCCATCACTCATTGGCCTTGTCTCCTCTTACTTTCCCTGACTTTACCCCCACTCACGTGTCTCCCGGCCACACTGATTTCCTTGCTCTTCCTCAGGCATTCCAGGTATGCCCTGCCTCAGGGCTTTTGCACTTGCCATTCCCTCTGGCTGGAACTCTCTTCTGTTAGATAGCCTGCAGGACTTCCTTACCTCCGAGTTTTGGTTCAAATATCACCAGACCACCCTCGCTAAAACTGTAACCTGCTCCCCTCCAACTTCCAAAGCCCCTATAAGCACCTGAGTCACACTTATTTTTTTTTAATTATTATTTTTAATGGAGGTACTGGGGATTGAACCCAGGACCTCCTGTCTGCTAAGCATGCACTCTACTAGTGAACCATACCCACCCCCCTTATTTTTCTTAGTTGTTATTCACTCTCAAGCACCCCTTCATCGGAGCGTAAGCTGCAGGAGGACAGGGGGTTCTGTCTTCCTCGCTGCTTTACCCCTAGAATAGTGCCTGGCATCGAGTAGGTCCTCAATACATATTTGTTGAATGCCTTGCTGCCTGCTGTATCTCCAACTTGCAGGACAGCGTGGAGCAAACAGCAGGTGCTTAATGAATATCTGCCAGTTGACTGGAGACCACAGCTAAGGCAGAGAGACAGATCGGAGCGGGGGGGGGGCCCACACCACGCCCCTCCCACTTTGCTGCGCCCCCGCCCCGCACCCTGCTCACCTATGACTCTGAGCCAGGTCACCCCCCGACTGGTACCCCGGGGGAAGGTGGCAAAGTCGCAGGTGTAGTTGCCCTCGTCCTCCACTGTCAGCCCCCGGAGGGCCAGCGTGGCGTCCCGCAGCTCCATCTCGGTGCCTTGCCCGGCCCCGGTGCTCTGCCCGGCACTGACGAAGGACAGCCGCTCCTTGCCCGGCTGCGGGCTGGGGAAGCTGGGACCATACGTAGGGTGGAAGACGGCCACGTTCTGGCTGCCCTCGGGCGCGTCCGGGCGCAGCCACGTCACCTGGGACACTCGGACTTCAGGCGCTGGGGGCAGCAGGTGGCACGGTAGCTCTACGGTGTCCCCAAGGCGGCCCCGCACCTCGGCTGCCACGCGAACTCGCACATCCTGGGCTCCTGGGGGGAGAGGAGAGAGGTTGGGAGGGGGAAGGACCCAGATACCTCCTGGCAGGCAGGGACATCTGTGAGGGAGCCCCACCGGGAAATGCAGGCTCCAAATGCGACGCAGGAAACTTCATGAGGTCCCAATCCCAAAAGGTCAGCCAGATTAAATGGTTTGGGGGAAAACTAGGACATTTGTGGTCCGGGATAGATTTCATATTATTATGGGATGACTATAACCTTCACGTAACCTTAGGTGTGAAGATTAAATTGTGGATTTACAGTGTTCCTTTTTCTGAGAAGGTAAAGGGTGGAAATGCCATGTCTGCAACGTATTCTCAAATGGTTCATCCAAAAAAAAAAAAAAAAAGAAAAGATAGAGAAACTGATGAAACAAACGTAGCAAAACATGACCTGCTGTGAAGTCTAGGGACAGAGGATGAGGGAGGCTGCTGGGCCATACTTCCAACTTACACGTGTATGGCTGAGATGTTTCATTCTAAAATGTTTGGAGGAAAAAAGAATCCTCCAAAAATAAACCCCAAATCTATCACAAAATCAATTTTAAAACATTTAAATGAGGCTAGTTTTCATTTTTTCCTGCGTGGTAATACTACTTTCTCTCATCTTTCTAGAAATAGAACTACAGCCCTCTGAGCCTATTTTTTAAAACAGTTTTCTTAAGATGTAATTCCCACTCACCCATTAAAAGCATACTATTCAGGGGTGGGCATCGCTCAGTGGTGGAGCATATGCTCAGCCTGCATGAGGTCCTGGGTACAATCCCCAATACCTCCATTAAACGACAAAAGGAAAATTCAAAAAAAAAAAAAAAAAAAGGATTCCCTCAAATAAATAAATAAAAGTGTATAATTAAATGGCTTTTTGTATATTCATGAGAATGGTGCACCCATCACTATAATCAAGTTTAGGACATTTTGATAATCCCCCAAAGAAATCCCTGTACCCATTAAACAGTCACTCCCATTCCCCCTCCTCCCAGCCCCTAGGAATCACTAAACTATTTTCTGTCTCCATAGATTTGCCTCTTCTCTTTTGGGAGGAGAAGGGGGAAGGTAATTAGGTTTGTTTGTTTGTTTGTTTGTTTGTTTGTTTATTTATTTATATTATTATTTTTAATGGAGGTACTAGGGATTGAATCTAGGATGTCATGCATGCTAAACCTGTGCTCTACCACTGACCTATACTCTCCGCCCAGATTTGCCTCTTCTGCATACTTCACATAAATAGAATCCTACAATGTGTCCAGCTTCTTTCACTTGGCATAATGTTTTCAAGGTGCATCCAAGTTATAACATAGATCAGTGCCTTGTTCCTTTTTACTGCTGAGTAATATTTCATCATATGGAGAGACCACTTTTGTGTATCCAGTCATCAGATGATGGACACTTCTACCTTTTGGCATCTACGAATAAAGCTATTGTGAACACCTGAGTACCAGTTTTTGTCAGAATGTGTGTTTTTCATTTCTTAGCTTATCTTTTGTTTTCTGACTTTTAAGAAACACTGGAATAAAGATGAATGTTTCTCTGTGGTGTGAGGCAGTACAGCATGGCGACTGAGGGCACAGACTGCCTGGGTTTGAATCCTGGCTCTGCTGCTTCCTGGCTGTGTGACATTAGGCAAGTCATTTAACCTCTCTGTGCCTCAGTTGCCTCAGCTGTCAAATGAGGGTAATAATAACACCCACTTCTTTGGGGTTGTTGTGAGGATAAAAGAATATTTGTAGAGCACTTAGCATGGGGCCACAGGAAACAGATGAGTGCTTGGTAAATAAACACATCCAGGTAAGTATAATTACAAGTAGCGCTTGACACCCAGCCTCGAGGCAAGGCCCACGTCCTGTCGCAAGGGGCACCTGCTGCCCAAGATGTCAGGTGAGGAGCGTGTGCAGACCCTGGCCTCACACAGGAATCCAGGGTACATGAACAGAGGGTCCCTGGCAGAAGGCAGCCCCTCTGGCAGGACTCATTCCAGGTGCGTCTGGGAAGATGCCATCAGTGAAGGTCTTCATGTGACACTGACATCATCTCATGGAATCTCCACATGTCCTGCAACTCGAACCCAAGGGTGCCCCCCTGGGAGATGGGGCTCCTCCCCTGGCAGAGGGACTGCACTACAGAGTGTCATGTGAGGGACCCTGGAGCAGATGGCTGGGGGCTTCTGGCTGGCTCTTTCCCTTTCCAGGTGGGTGACCCTGTTTTGAGACTCAATTCCTCCTTCTGTAAAATGGGGATGTTTAAGCAGCCTTGCAGGGTCCCTGGCTACAAGTCCCCTAAATGACGTTCTCCTGTAACACTTCACAGGGCTGGACGGGGGAGCCGCGCCGAGGCAGTCCTCTGCCTGCTGCAGGCCAAATCCGGCTCTCAGTACTCTCGGTCATGTTTACTTTTGGCCCACATAGCATTGTTTCAGATGTGAACTAGCAGCCCCGAAGAGCCTGGAGATTGAAGGTAAAAATCCAGACAAAAGTCAGGATGGGCTCTGGGGGCCAGAGGTGAGTGGAGCTGAGGAAGGGCTGCCCCCTTCCCTCAAGGCACTCCTTCAGGTGCCAGGACCCCTAACTGCAGGGCCCCCAAAGGCACTGAGTCTGGGGCAAGGGTCCCCAAAGGCTCTACTCCTTTCTAGCTGAATGAGGAAGGAATGGCTATGCAGTCAGGGGAGGGCGAAAACATCCGGGCCAGTGTAAGCTGCAGAGAGGCGGGGGGGGGGGGGGATGAGGGGGGCGAGGGGGCGGGGGGGGGCGAAGGACTT